CAAGAAAAAGTTATGTTAAGCAATGTCTTCTTGAGTTAGGTGAATTCAATTAGAAGGAGATGGAAACCATTGAAATATACTATGATCATCCGAATGAATTATTCTTCAAGTGCAGTCGTTATGGCGTTAATCATTCAGTTCTGGAGTACAATTTAACTTTCTTGATGGGACTTCTAAAGGAGTGGATGAATATTAGTTTAATCATCAAAACGCAACAAAGCTTTGACAACTATTCACTATCTTTATAATGTTATGAGAGCCCATGAGACTGAGATTAACGAGATTGCTGAAGAAGGAAAACTGAGTTTGGGCAGTCCTCTGGCACTTGTTTCGAAAGTCTCTGGAAAAGAAACTGAAATTGAATCTGCTGGTGTTGATGATTATGATAATGAAGGTTTTATCATGAACTCGGATGACGAAGTTGTGCCATATTATGCGAATAATAAAGTCAAGAAGTTTTACAAAAAGCCATTCAATTCAAAGTTTAAAGGAACTAATTCCAAGGGAAACTCATTTGGGAAGAATATGAGAGAGGAAACGAAGGTGGAGAAGAAAGAAAACAAGTCTGAGGTTGAGAAGCTAGAAAAGAAATTGAAGGGTGACTCTGGTTTTGATTGTCATTACTGCAATGGTGCGAACCATATGGCAATCGATTGTATGTCGAGGAATAGAGATGAGAAGAAGGATAGAGTGAAGGATGAAGCTTATTATATTGAGAGGCTATAAGAGGTGAGAGTTAGAACGCAGGGTATGTCTCTAGTTGCAAAAGGAAGTGGCGAATGGGATGGAACTTATCAAATCTGGTCTTCTGGATCAGATGATGAGGAGATGCGATACTCCACACTTGGAGCCATGATGCCAAGTATGAAGAGGAAAGTGAGGATGAGGAGAAGGTGAGAGGAAAATGCTCTGTTTCTACTGGTGCTGACAAGTCTCCAATGACTTTGAAGGTACGTTCTCTTCTCGAATCCTTTGAAATTCCTTTCAGTTCATATAATGCTATTCTATCTGACTTTGATGATACTCTATCTTACGTTATTGACATGCTTACTTATGTTAGTAGTGATGCTGAGAAATCAAAATCTTTATTGCTAGAATCACAGAAAATGTTGGAGTCAAAGATAAGTAGAACAAATCATCTAGTATTGCAGTTAAAGAATGTTACTTCTGATAGGGATACTATGAGATCAGATAATTATATTTTGCTAAAACAATGTAATATCTATTGTAATTCGGCCAAGAGACTAAATGCTAAATTGACTGATTTACATCATTCATCGGACATAAGCAAATAACAACATAGGAAACTTTTTCCCTTTTTGACATTCGAAAGGGAAAAGATAGATTCGACTTCCTATGACTGTGAGAAAAAGATTTCTGAGTTTGACAAGGTCCTAAATGACTCATACGCATATGGTATTGTGAAGATAGATGAATGTTTAATTGCAAATGATTTAGTTCATATAGCGAATGAGACTTTGACTAAAACTGAAAAAATAAAAATTTTGAAAATGACTAAGAATTCGACATCTAACTCTCAACACAGTTTTGCTGATATCGAAGATGATTCTAACAATATCAGTGAAATTGAGGCAGAGGAAGTTGTTGATTGTTCTCAGTTATCTTTCATTAATGTCACTGCGATAAACAAGGGTAAAAAAATTTGTAATGATTCTTCGGTTAAGATTAACACTAATCAACCCTCTACATCGAAAGTTCATGATTATGATCGTGTGATTGTCGAAGATAGTCAAACTAATAGTGCTAATGATGGCGAAGATGGTTCAAGTGACACAACTATTCCCAGAGTTGTTGTTGATCAAGTGTATGAGGAAACAGAGAAATTCAAAAAAGTGATGAAGGAAAAAGGTCCTCATTATCTCGAATCGAACTCTGTAGTTTATCCAAATTTCAAATGCACAAATGATGTTGTATTTCCCAATCAGGTGATTGTCACTACAGGAAAGGGTGATAAAGTAAAATCAGAGATCTACAAAGTTGTTGATGAAGATAACAAAGCAGTTTCGAAAGAAGTTTTTTTCTCAAATCAGGCGTTTCTCATGATGGTAACGGACTTTGGTTCTCATGTTACCAATGAACTACTATTTATACAGACTTTATACTAATTTTAACAACGAACTTTATTACATCATTTTAGCACAAAAAAACTTTATTGCTCATGTTAACAACGTACTTTTGTTATGGAATCCTTTATCAATATTTTGGACATCCATGATTTTACAATGATGGTATATTATAAACTTATGAACTCACCAACTATTTCAGTAGTTGGCCGCTCATTTTACATGCTTTTTCAGGAATCATCGAGTAAGTGGCACGTAGGGACACATCACTTGTAGGAGCATCTTCATGTGTTGTTTATCGATTGTAATGTAATTCTTTTTAAAATTGTTCAAAACTTATTGTAAATTGTAAAGCTTTTTAACACTATGGTTGGTGCTGTCTTTTAACTTTTGCAATGAGACCCTTTGTACTGTTGCACCTTGTGTTTTCGCTTTAGTCGGGTGTGACACCCTGACTAATACTCAACCAGGTGCCAGGGGAAGCAAAATTTTCAAATAATGACATAAATACCTTGGGCTCCATTAAGCTTTGATCCTGCATGGATTCCTAAGATGGAACAAAGATAGGACTAGAGGGATGGGGGACATTAGCATCACAATGGGGGCTCTTCTCTTTCATTTGAGCGATGTAAGTGGAAGTCTGACCCACACCAAGGCTATCGAAAAAGCACCGAAAAGCACCAATATCTAAGGAACGAGACCTCTTCACAGTTCTATCACTATTACCCTTGCCACCAGAAAAAACAACTGCAAGAGCTGTAGAAGCAATTGAATCCCTACCCCTTTTACGAAGAACTAAGGGTTGCTCTTCACATTCACCTTCATCATCGCTCCTAGAAACAATAACAGGGACAGTGGTAACATTTGGAGTTTGCTAACTCGTATCGTGATCATATGAATCATGAACTCTGACTAAAGACTCTGATTCCTCCTCATCCTCTTCCTGATTTTGCGAAATACTACCCTCACTCCCTTTACAAGAATTTGTTCCCAAACCATTCAAGATGAAATTTAATATTTAAACATCAGAGTAAAAATCACAAATAGCCGATGCGGAATAAACTCTAGGGGGATGCTATGCAGTCACGCCAGACCCTTCCCTTTTGAACCGGAAGTACCTGAAACCATAAACATGAAATCGTAAACACAGAGCTTAGTAAGTTCCCTAAAATACCACATATCATACATATCATCGGGCCTAGCTTGCACATTGGACCATCTCATAATAATGGACCTAACACTTCCTAATCAATGGGCCCAACCCAACATACAAATAGGCCTAGCCCGACATACAATGTGCCTAGCCCAACATACAATGGGCCTAGCCCAACATATAATATGCCCAACCCAGTCATGAAAATGGGCCAAACCCTATATGCATGCCAATGGGCCCAGCCCAACACATCAATGCAAAACTCATAAAGACAGCTAGAATCCATGGCCCGTCTGTCCAGGAAAAGTCTTAGTTTTAATGTCACAAACTCAAGACTTACACTAGGTATTTTTCCTTCATTTTCAAACTCATGTATACATTAAATACAATAAACACTGGTAATACAAAAAAGAGAGCCATTAACTTACTAGCTAACACGGGCTGCCCCTCCAGGAGTAGTCTCACTTTTGACTCTTTAGAAGTATTTGGTTTCTCAACAAATATGTCATTATAAATAGCCAATTGTTTCTTAGATGAGTTATGAAATTAATAATTTTGATTGTCTCAAAGATTAAAATGTCATCTTGTTTATTAGATCTCACGAACTCATTACTTGCACTAGGTCTTTTCTATCATTTTAAAATACATGTATACATCAAATACAAACACTGATAATACAAAAAAGTGAGCCATTGACTTAGTAGCTAACAGCCTCACCACTTAAGGAGAAAACGCAGTTTCAACTATTTCCTTTGTATTTTCCCTTTTTCATTTTAAGTTATTACGTTTTAAAATATCTATTTGTGACTGGCCAATGGATAAAATGATTTATTTCTAAAAAATGGCAAATATGGAACAAAAAAATGGTGGGACTAAATGCAAACTCATACGTAAATGCTAGGGTTAAATGCAAACTGTGAAAAATACGAAACCGACACGTCATCATGACCTGTTGGTGACCGGCCAACGACCCAAAAATAAAATGTTTTCTAAAATATAATGACAAATGAGGAACAAAAAATAAAGTTGAGGCTAAAACAAAACAAGGATGTATATCTAATGGTTTTTGTGGAATAAACCTTACATAAGGGGCCAAGCTACTACGTAGCCCGGGCTACCCCTCAAATTTTCCTGTCAAATGTAAATTTAGTGATTTTTTCAAAAATCCGTTGGAAATCCATCACAAATTCGTCGGCAATCTATCACAAAGTCTGATAATTGGGAATTTAGTGTAAATTCGTTTGTTTAGTGACGATTTTCTGATGGAAACTTCATTCGGAAACAAATTTTTTTAGTAGTGGAAGCTCTAAAAATTTTGTGCAACCCCTGATTTTTTTTCTGGATCTGCTTACTGTCTTAAATATATAAAAGAATAAAATAACTAATATATTAGGTTGACAATATTTCTATGTTTTCTTCTGTTGAGTTTTATAAAAGTAATTTTGGGACATTATTGATCTCAAGCTTATAAACGACTTAACCGGTTCAGCTTAAATTTATGGCGATTACAAAATATACAAACTATTAAATAACGACCTTAGCCCAAGCTCTAACACAATCATTCTGAAGTTAATATCACCTAGTGATTACACCTACTACCTATTGACGAGTAACCCTAGACAAAACATAAAAAGATGGATATCCATTTCTTCATTGGGGAAGAAAATTCATTCGTAACATGAAATTTAATGGTTCTTGAAGAAAAATAAGACATAAGCATTAGAAAGATGCATAGAAGTGGTCCACTAGAACCTCAGTGCACCTCACCTTGGCCCTGATAGAATGGAAGCTGACATTGGTTTCGATCTTTTCTCATATCCATTTGTTATTTTCTGCATAGAAATGGTCCACAAGAAGTTGTAATCCAAGTTCGATTCAACATCCATTACTCCCTCTATCACCTTAACCACCGATGACATTGAGGGCCTTTTCGTATAATCAATCTGCAAACACCATGAAACCACTTTCATCATCTCCACGACTTCTGTACCATGTTCCTGCATATCTTTACTGTACCTGTCAACTATATGTAACAAAGTCCCTTGTTCCCAACACCTTTGAAAGATACCGAGTAAGTGTTGACTTTCTTTTGGCTGAGATATATCGAGATTTTTCCTCCCACATAAGATCTCCAAAAGAACGATCCCAAAGCTATATACATCTGCCTTTTCGGTGATAATTGAGTCGAAGCATTCTGGAGCCATATAGCCAAAAGTTCCTCTCACTGTGCTCATCACTTGACAGCTTTGATTTCTATCCATGAGCTTAGACAACCCAAAATCAGATACTTTGGCATTGAAATCCCTATCTAGGAGTATGTTTTGAGGTTTAATATCGAGGTGAATGATTTTTTGCCGACATTCTTCATGAAGATATGCTAAACCTTTAGCAATATCAAGAATAATCTTCTTTCTACATTCCCACTTAAGTACGTTCTTTTGGTCTCCATTGTAGATCCATCCATCTAGTGATCCATTACTCATGAATTCATAGACGAGAAACCGCTCTGATTTCCAAGCACAAAATCCTCTAAGTTGAACTAGATTCACATGGTGAATGCTGCCAATGGACTCAACCTCTGCCAGGAATGATTTCCTAACCTCATTCCAGTCTACCTGCACAAGACCAAGACCATGAAGACATTTTACTGCAATCTTTGAGTCAACTTCGAGAACCCCTTCAAAAACGGATCCAAATCCTCCTTCACCAATCTTTTTGCTGAAATTCTCTGTGGCTGTTTTTAGTTCTTCATAGGAAAACCGAGTAGGCATTCCTGGCACTTTATCTAGATACTCTTCTTCCATTTCACCATTCACCTCTTCCTTTTGGCCTATGAACTTAGTAAAAACTACAACCAAAATGACAAGAAGCACCAAACTTCCAACTGTGGAACCTAGAATTGTAGTAACATGATTTTTTCTCTTTGGTGATTTATATCTTCCATTCTGGACTTTTATAAAAGCGGAAGCATGGACTTGATTGTTTGCATCTACATCAAAGTTCGTCATAGAAAAAAGCTCAGAAGGTAAATCACAATACCCACTTGAAGAATTCGAACCCAGGTACTCGAATATAGCTGCTTTGCATGAGCAGTTGTTCAGACACGCTTGTTTACAAGTCTCCATATCCACATGCTCCATGTTAGCTGTATAGGTGAAGTACTTGATGTTCTTGAGTTCAATGAAATGTTGATCTTGTGTAGCATTACATGTGAGAGGAGTAACTTCAGAGCAACCCTTGTTTGGTTGGCTATCATCCACTGCTCTAAAATATTCTGTCACCGGAGAGCTTGACTTCGGACAACTACATTGTACATCACCCGAGCAAATGGCATTCCTCCCACAAGCCAATGGATAAGAACAATCTCCAAAATCATATTCAGTTAGCAGATCAGCCACCATCTCCCCTCCAAAGGCTTTCAAGTGCCCATCTGGCATTAGTTTTGTATATTCAAGTGGGATTTCTTGAGGTATATCAATACTATCAAACTTAGTAGAAGAATTGAAGAAACACAAACTCCCATTTAAGAGCTCAATATAAATTCTTTCTTTATTTGTTTTTGTGACATTTATCAAGCGTTTGTAATAGACTTGAGGTGGGTTTGATTGGACATAAGCAAACAGACCGCTATCAGTGAGTTGAAGATAGTAAGAATCCTTTTGAGCCATCCAATTGGTTGAGGAAACACTAGGTATCAGCTTCTGTCCTTGCAATAGTTTTTGTCCAGCTACCAAACAGTCTGTTGGGTGATCAAAAGATTGCCAAACCATGGAGTTATAGCCATCAAACAACATCAGATTTCCTTTATCAGTTAGGTTCATGCCAGCAGTAGATTTCCCTCCAGTGTTTGTAGTCCAAACTATGCTTCCATCCACATCATGTAACACCAATTCTCCAGCTGCAGTGAAATTCAGTATTGCACCTTCCTTGACTGAATTGTCTCGGTTGGCTGACCAAATCACTGTTGGATTGCCTTTTGTGCCAAAAATATAACCAGGAGAGTAAGATATCTTGATAACAATGGCGAAGAGGTAAGATGTGCAGTTTCCGAAACAGAAGAAGCCACAAGCGAATTTTTCTTTATCAAGGATGACTCTGATCCTTGAGCCATCTGTGAAATTGATGGAAGGGATAGAAGATTCATCGTTGGTCCATGTGGTTGAAAGATTTGCTTTAGGTAACGGTTGAAGAGTATTGGGTGGATAACGTACATATATAACAGGGCCACTAACAGGCATGAGGGGGGAAGGAATGCGGAAGTACGGATTAGGAAGAACCGGTGGATTAGTTTTTTGTGAGCAACTATGAAACTCTGTGTTGGATGAGAAAATGAGAAAGAAGGCGAAGAAAAAGCTACAGATCCACGGTGCCCTCATCACTAATGAACACGCGATAACCTATGAAAATGAACAAATGATATAAACATCTAATTCAAATGTGAGGAGGATTTAAGAACTGAATTCCATGCAATAGTTGATTGACTCATGTAAGGCCAAGTTTCGTTTTCTGATTCTCTCTAAGTGGTGAAAACCACTCATTTCAAACATGGCCACTATACTAAATATAATTTCTTGAAAAATATATGAAGTCAACTAGTGATCAAGTCTAACAATAAATTTTATTTCTATATTAATAAATGAATAGTTATTACTTATTAGTGTTACTTGTCATTTTCTCATAATTTACGTTATTTTTTTCAAATATTCTACAAAAATGCCACTTATCATTTTCTCACTATTTATAATTTTTAAAAAGTATTGATGTTGATAATAAGTTAGACAATATTTTTTTGATCACTGGTTTTTAGGAGAAATTTAAATTTGTTTTGAATAAGTTTCGGTTATGATTGCCGATAATTAATTATATTTCTATATTGAAAATCCTACAATATCATGTTTAATTGATAGTTTATTGAAAATAATTGATTAATAATTATAAGTTTTTACCATAAAAAATTAATTATTTATATAACCATGGTTCCTATGGGCTATAAGCTAATTAATTACTTCCTCCATCCCAAATTAATAGTCTATGATTCCTTTTTTTGTTTATCCCAAAATAATTGTCCACTCCTAAAAATAAATATCATTTTTACCAAGATATCGTTCATCTTTATATATATTAAAAGAGAAACCTGATTACATCATCTTCAACAGTCTAGTCTATTGATCGGCTTTCTTTTATAGTTTTTCACCATTGGATCAATTTGATGATGTCATCCTCATAATGTTAATAATATTTTTTAAATCTTTTCAGAATGTTGATTAAGGAAATAATTATTTTTTCCGATTCCGACATTTATGATTAAAATGTTAATTAAGGAAATAATATCATTGAATCATTCAAAATCGTGACCCTTATAAAGTTCAAAACCATCATTTAATCAAATCTCATTAAATATGCATCTAATTCATCTATTTTTGACAATTATTTGAATTTAATATAAAATCACGCCTCCCGTTTTCCAATTATCTCTTGAAAATCGTTAATCAGGTCTCATTCTTTATTATATTCACCAATATCATTTAATTCCGATCTTTGGAATACTAAATAATAGATAAACATATTGTCTCCAATTTAAAGTAGATTTTAAACGATTTTGTTTCTTATTGTCCGCGTTTTGCAAATTATAAATAATTATCACATTTCTCATTTTCTTATTCACATGTCTGTTCTTATATCAATGCACTACAAAAATTGAACAAAACAATACATCAACATTCACATCAGTTCTATTACAAATCTTCAAGGTATGTCCTCTGCGTGTGCTTTTTTAACATGTGTGTGTCGTGTTCCCTTTGTTGGTACCTCTTATATGTGTTAACTAATTATTTGTAACTGTTCTAAAAAAAACTGCATAAAAAGATTTACAAATTCATAAAAATATTAACAACTTCATCTTCTTTATATAAAGCAAAGTGTCGAATTGCTGCATCTGCACACATTTATATTGACTCTTATAGATAGGGTCAGACCCAATATAAGTGAAATATAGAAAATCATAGGTACATGAATATATTCAGATTTCTATAAACATTTAGAATTTGTATTATCATTTCTTATGTTATGAGATCCATCTATGAATTTTCTAATCTCTCAAATCTGATATAAATCAAGCAAAAATAGCTAATCTGCACCATGCGAATTCAAATTAACATGTGTATGTGTTGTGTTTCTCTTTGTTGGTACATCTTATATGTGTTAACTAACTATTTGTAAATGTTCTCAGTGAATCCGTTCATTGCCCATTGCATAAATTCAAATATATTAAAATATATATTGTTAATAACATTTAAATATATGTTGGTTATTTTAAAATTTTATTAACATTTAAAAAAATGAATGCATAATTTTACTTTTATTTTATAGATATTATTTAATTATAATTCGAGGGATATGTTAATATTCTAATTAAGTATGGTACGATATAATTTTTTTTTATTTTAATGAAAATATTTGTAAAAACCTTATTAATTGTGGTATGATGTTGAATATTTTTGGTATAACTTTTTAGATGTATATTACAATATAATTTTAATTAACTTTCAAAAAAATAGAAATTAACTATATTTGGAATTGATACTAATTACGAAAATAACATTTTTATATATTAGAGATGATTATATTTTTTTAATTATTATGTCATAAGAATCCGATTAATTTTGGTATGATTTTAAAATATTTTGGTATGATCTTATTATATTTTTAGGTTGATTAATAGTAAATAATATATAATCTATTTATGCATCCTTTGAAATTAAGTATAGAAACGATTTTGTTGACAATTATAATAACATATGGGTAATAATTTCCAAAATTGTCTTTAAATTTCTTATATATATATATATATATATATATATATATATATATATATATATATATATATATATATATATATATAGGGAAGGGTTATTTGGAAAACAAAAAAACCCTAAAAAAACCCTAAAAATGCATAAAAAATACTTAGAGATCACAAACCTTTTTTTTGACATTTTTTATGAAAAAATCATAGGTTTTTAAAGAAATTCGCTGAAAAAAATTTTGAAATAAAAAATTTATATAAAAAAAAATTTGATTTTTTTTTCGGCGAATTTTAATAAAAAGCTGCGATTTTTTTAAAAAAATTCAAAAACAAGTTTCGTGATCTCTAAGTATTTTTTTATGCATTTTTATGATTTTTAGGGTTTTTTTTAGGGATTTTTGTTTTCCGTAGAACCTAAACCTATATATATATCTATATATATATATATATATATATAATATATATATATATATATATATATATATATATATAGAGAGAGAGAGAGAGAGAGAGAGGTAAGTTCAATTGAGAAAATAAAAAATGTTGAGAATGAGGGAATCATTCTCAGTCACTCATTTATTTTTGCCGCAAAAGCCTATGTTGTACCAGCGGAAATGGATAAGAAATACACATGTGTTTCCAAGAAAACATGTTTCCTTAAACTATGCTAATCATTACATTAATATATACAAAAACATAGTTTTTTTTTTCGTTTTTTTAATTTTTAAGAAACTATTTATATCGAAAAATGATTTTAAATATACGAAAAAATAATGATTTTTTATTCTCGACAAATAGACATCCATATTGATATACTTTTAAGATAAAATAATTTTTTTTATATATTTTCAGCTATCGTTATTCATAAGTGAATAAAAATACATCAGATTTTTTGCTACAGGACATTCGTTATTCACTTATGAATAAAAATATATAATTAATTTTTTTACAGTTTAAGTATCATTTATACTACTTATTCATATATGAATAACAAATTAACTGTAACAAAAATCTGATAAATGTTTTATTCATATATGAATATAAAATATGACGACAATTAATACACGTTTTATTCATATATAAATATAATATATGATGAAAGATGATGTAAAAAATATATTTTAAATAAGAGAACTTTATTGCGTATTATATTCATATATGAACGATACTTAAACTATAAAAAAAAATTAAGCATACGTTTTATTCATAAATGAATAACGAATGTATTGTAATAAAAATCTGATAGATTTTTATTCACTTATGAATAAAGAGAGCTGAAACTCTAAAAAAAATTATTTTATCTTAAAACTATATCAATATGGATGTCTATTTATAGAGAATAAAAAATTATGAATTTTGATATATTTAAAATAATTTTTCGATAATAATGGCTTTCTAAAAATAAAAAAACGAAAAAAAAAGTATGTTTTTGTGTATATTAAAGTAATGATTAGCATAGTTTAAGGAAACATGTTTGGTTGGAAAACACATGTTTATCCGTTATCCATCTCCGACGGTACGCCTAAGTGTTTTACGGCAAAATAAATGTGTGACTGAGAATAATTCCCCAATTCTCAACCTTTTTTTTCTCAATTGAACCCTCCTCTATCTCTCTCTCTCTCTCTCTCTCTCTCTCTCTCTCTCTCTATATATATATATATATATATATATAATATATATATATATATATATATATATATATTGTATGTGACTTCCTTAACGATTACTTTTATTCACTGTGAACATCAAAACTCTACAACATCGGAATTAGGATACCAAGAAATACACGAGGTTAGTGATTCTATTCTTTTTACGTATACAATATAATTTTTTTTTACTTGACACACATTGAAAGAAAGACTATTACCTCCTATTTTATTTATTAATTTTCAATTCGACTTATCAAATCACTTCAATTCATCAAATCAATAATGGTGTACACTTCGGACAATAAAAGTAATGATGTACAAGATCACCCATCCATCGTATGTGGTTTACATCTTTTTGTCTAACAATGACATTTTGCGATTCGATGTATATTCAGAAGAATATTTAGTGATATATGCATCTTCTATTATTAACGATTTCAACTCGTATGCATCGATGCTTATTAAGTTTGACGGAAAATTGAGATATTTTTCTATAGGTGGAGATCGTTTGTGGGGTATTTGGGTTTTCATTCAGAATCGATGGGTTAAAATAGAAGTTAGTAATTACAATGCCGGTGTACATGAATAATGGGATTATCGAAACAATCTCCTTAATTTTTTAAAGGAAATATGATTGGGTATGTCGTTCTAGCACATCGTTCTCATGAAGTATTTTCATTTTGTTCAGATTTTGAGATAGTGACTATGCCAAGTAGAAATATATTTTAATCGTCAATTCAAGTTTTAGTTTGTTTAATGATATTAACTTTTTTTATGGTACTTTATATTATTTTTTTATTATGTCGGCTTTTTGTAAGTTTATATGTTCGTCGCGTTTAACGCGGGTCATAATCTAGTTATTAGTTAAACTACAATGAAATTAAATGCAACTACTATAGAATTAAATGCAACAAAATGGTATAAT